ATCCGGGTGACCAAAAATAACTGTAATCAGCCCCCGAAGATGGGGTATCCCAGAACTCGGAAACTGACGCGGAGCAAGAGGTTTCTTGAGCCGGATATTCAGAGTCTTATTGCTGATAGACACCAAGTTGAAATCCCACATATTATGCATCAAAATCTTTGTTATGAAGTTGCCGACTGGTCAGTGCAAAATTTTTGGCATACTAATCCTTAACTAAGATGTACTATAGCTTTTTTATGAAGGCTCTCCTACAGTGATTCTGGAATATAACTGCAAAGTTTAGGTAAGGAAACAACAGGCAGTCCCACATAGTTCCACTCTGATTTTTTGTGAGATGAAGTAGGATTTAAATTTACACCAGGGCAACATAAAAGCTAACTGCGCATATTTGCGCAAAATTTGCATGAGCCGCTCTTCCTACCCAACCACCGCCCGTCCCGCCCCAGTTTCGGCTCGGCCGCCGCGCCCGGCTTACGCTGACCTGTGTGGCCTGCACGCATCCATGCGTAGTTGACTGGTCATTAAAAACAGATGCGCTTAACCCTATTAGTGGCAGGGGGGTTGTTTTCATCCACCCGTCAGGTTTTTCGGGAATATCTCCGAAACCGCTGAAGCTACGATGCTGAAATTTTCTGACTTTTCCTAAAACTAAATTGGGCACATTTCCTGAAAATTTCAAGGTCATAGGGTAGTGTGGGGTAATTTGAACATATTTTTACGTCTTCTCCGTTGTACCAAATTCCAGCTCAACCCTGGATGAAGAAAAACTGTTTCAGTAGCGCATGTGTCACTTGCTTTCACAATGCAGGCCTCATTTTTGGACGAGCCGAGCATACCTTGAATAGCATAGCATCACTTCTCCACCAAGTCACGGTGTGTTCAAATTGCCCCACCGTGGGGTAATTTGAACATACTGCCTTTACCTGCCATAAAAACGATAGTCTCGCCAGCACCGATGTTGTTTGACCCATAAACGAATAGGCAGAGCAATTCTAAACATACCTTCATTTGAAAAATCAACACAACAACAAAAATAAGAGTTGCAGAGTATCAATATCTGCACGCTGCACACCGGTCAGTTGCCAGAATTCGCCTCTCTTCATTTAACAGAACGTCTATCATCTCCGTTCGATAAAAACTCTACCAAACCTTACTTCATCTGTTATAGTGGTGCCAATCGGAACCTGGACATTCGGTGTTCCGATTCTTTATAATGTCAAATTTGGAATTGATTGCACAAAGGTATAGTAATCTGGACAACATTGGACGATGGCCTGCCACACTTAAGCATTTTTATCAAGTAATCGTGCGTAGCATTGATTGGCGAATGGAAAGCTTGTTAAGCTCTCAATATAATGGACACTTTTCGGCTGGTAAAATTACATGATAAGCAATATAAATGACGGTTTCGAGTGTTGATAGCTGCATAATTTTCGGACATATTTGGACAAATAGTTGACTTTAACATTTTTGGACGGAAAATCAACGAAAATGCCGGACATTAGACGGATATTAGACGTAAATTTTCTAAAACTGGCATCACTTATCTGCTACTGCTTTCGGTCGAAAATATTGGCCAAAAAAAAAAAAACTGGGAGCGTTGTTTTTTTCGGAGCTATCCCTGTCTTCATTGAAATTCTCACACTATGTTCAAATTACCCCACGCTAAAAGTTATTTTGCCATTTAAAAAAACAGGGTTCAAAAGCAAATTTCTTGGATTGAAGGCACTGATTAGGTCATTCCACAACAAAAGCCGTTGCGTATTAGGCGCTAGCAATGCAAGATTTTGCGCTGCAATGAAGTTGCAATGACGTGTTGTTAGGCGTTTATCCTTCGAAATTGATTTTTTACACTGTTCATCAACACCTTCATTCCCTGAAACTTTAAACCCCGTTCATATGATAGCCCTTTTAGTTACGACAATTTCTCTCATTGGTCTTATTGTCATGCCACTTATGGATTTTCCGTCATTTTGTGTTATTCACACTATGTTCAAATTGCCCCACATGTTCAAATTACCCCACCCTACCCTACCTTTACCAGGGGCGGCTCCAGAGCACTGGGAATTGGGGGGTCCTATTCGTGAAGCGAGTCATTTGGGCGAAGATCACGATGCTGATGTATTATAACTGTATGCACCAGTTTTACGAACAGTGAATGAAAGGTATCATGTGATAACATATACAAAGTTATTGTGCATCCTCTTTTGACACGTTTTTGCTATAATAGGCGGATCCAGGCGTCCAAAAAGGGGGTTATGTTTTACCTCCCAACATAGGTGCCCTGACACCGCCTATGCATGACCAATACAATTGTAGTCGTTCTCTCATAAGAAAATTGTAACATAACAAGACCATTACCACCCTTTTTAGAAACAGTACCAACAAAAACCTTATTTACTATACTTTTTGTGTACCCCCAATCTCAATGATCTGTATCCGCCTATGATTTTTGAAAATGCATATTTTTAGGATCCATGTGAATTCCTGGTTCATTCTCTATCGATCGGCAAAAGTTGCGTTAAGATTGGTTCAGAAACCTGGCCGTGATAAACAGTCTAAAATGTATCTGCAATTTGCCCGTTTTTACCCCCCTCTACCCCCCTATTGACATTTTTTAATTTTTATTTTTTTAGGAATGTAGATCACGTTGAGCGAAATCGAATGCCGCTTGAATTTTGAAAATCGGCCCGTTGGATCTCGAGATATCAAGGGGGGTCGTAAACAGCCCCCCTGCCACTAATAGGGGTAGCCAGGAGCCTGCCACTAACAGGGTTAAAGGGACCCTCCCACCTTAACATTAAATTTGAGTTGAGATAGCCAAAATGGGGTCCCTGGCTCACAATTACCGGTTTCGGCACTCACAACATCGAGAAATGCCTTAAATCGGAAATATTGAATTTCAAAATTGCAGCATTTTGATTCAGAGGGGCTAATGCATTGGAATACCCCTCTGAATGTGTGACGTCAGTGCAGATATCTAACGATTTTTAAATGTTTGACTAAAACATTTTGTAGCACGCGGTGGTATATGCTGCTTTGCGCGCAACAAGTGCCGCACTTTCAGCTGCCAAACTATTGCTTCCAAGTAAAGTCGCTAGGAACAGCGTAGATCCCAAAAAGTAAACAAAAGTAAAAGTCTAATATCTTGAAAACCGGTGAATATTTTTCGGTGAAATTTGGTAGATATTCGTTTTCGCTCTTTCTGAACCGAGCGACATCACTTTCATGCCAATTCATAAACTTTTTTGAAGGTGGGAGGGTCCCTTTAAGTTTATGAATTTTGTGAAAAGCGCGTTTTATGTATGCATTTATGTATGTATTGACATCAAAAGCCTTCCACATATTGCGTGGCGATTATGGCTTGCATTTAGAGAGCCTTGCTATTGACAACCATCACTCGGCTGAAGAAAGTGGAAATTGAAACCTTCGTGAATATAAGACGCTGCAAATATAGGACACCTGTCACTGACGTCGGGTTACCTTGGGCCGTCTTTTTACATTAGATCACAATTCCGGTATTTAACCCTGGCCGGACCGATTGGTTTTCTATATTGACCGGGGAGGGTTGGTACAACTCCCTCGCCGTTTCGCCTCTAATTGAGCTAGAGCCTCGCGAAAAAAACAAGCTTGTGTGCCGTTATAAGACGCAAAAATTAGGTACTACCGGATTTTAAGGTCTTAGGTCAGCCAGTGACCTCTTAGGTCAGATAAGTGCCACAAGTCACGGGCTCGGTTTTAGTTTAATTACTTTGCCAAAAATGGTCGCACTACCGCGATTTTGGCATCATCGTGTTTGTCTAGCTCAGGCGCGTTGAATGCTATACTTGGTGTTCGGGTGAAGTCAACTTAAGGTGTTAACCTCGGGTCAAGGTCAGGTCGGAGCCCCTCAGGTCACGAAAATGGTTGAAGGTCATATTGCATATCATTCGATTCGGCAGGTCTTCCTGAGTCCAATGGTGGCTTTCCCGTCTCTCTAGCTCTATCTGATCAGGAGTTATTGACGAAATTCTTATATGGCCTTAGTGACGTCATAAATGACGTCACGCAAAGTCAACAATGCTAAAGTCAAGCACTGGACCTTGCAAGGAGTGCATGAAACCATTACCGGTGCCCGAATAGCAGCTCCCAATTTCCCTTGTTGACTTAAAGTGGTGGTAGATCCTGTATTATACTAAATTATGACGTCATAACTTAACAGATTCACGTCATATATTTAGTGCTTGACATCCAAATGATAGCTTACATATGACAGAGAAGGTATGCAAAGTTGACTACCCCTACCACTATTGTTATTTATTACACTATGGTTAGGTATATTATAAGTTGTGACTGCCGTGAGAATGTTTTTTTTTTTTTTAGGATGTCATTATACTTTTCATTATGGGTGGATTTCCCCGCAACATTACAATTTTGGACACACTGCCTGTGCCCCTGTCCCAGCTGACCTCTGCTCGCCCTCCGGCCCTGTCTCAGCTGACCTGTGCCCCTGTCTCAGCTGACCTCTGCTCGTCCTCCGGCCCTGTCTCAGCTGACCTGTGCCCCTGTCTCAGCTGACCTCTGCTCGCCCTCCGGCCCTGTCTCAGCTGACCTGTGCCCCTGTCTCAGCTGACCTCTGCTCGCCCTCCGGCCCTGTCTCAGCTGACCTGTGCCCCTGTCTCAGCTGACCTCTGCTCGCCCTCCGGCCCTGTCTCAGCTGACCTGTGCCCCTGTCTCAGCTGACCTCTGCTCGCCCTCCGGCCCTGTCTCAGCTGACCTGTGCCCCTGTCTCAGCTGACCTCTGCTCGCCCTCCGGCCCTGTCTCAGCTGACCTGTGCCCCTGTCTCAGCTGACCTCTGCTCGCCCTCCGGCCCTGTCTCAGCTGACCTGTGCCCCTGTCTCAGCTGACCTCTGCCCCTGTCCCAGCTGACCTGTGCCCCTGTCCCAGCTGACCTGTGCCCCTGTCTCAGCTGACCTCTGCCCCTGACCCCTCTGGCCCCTGTCTCAGGCGGCGCTGATGACCGTGTTCGTCCTGTCATTCCGCATCATGGGCGTGTGCCTGTGCGTGCTCATCGGCTGGATGTTCGCCTGCATCGGCCTCTACGGAATGACCGAGGAGGAGCGCAACCAGCCGCTCAGAGGCTGGCGCAGGTCAGGCTCCGGCGGCATTACACCTTTTCTCGGCGCCGCGCCACCCCTCTCTAGTTGAGTCGGTGTGATGGTGTCCATCATACATCTGTCTTCCTATAGCCCTTGGTTCTAAGCCATCCTTACCATTGCTTAAAGGTGGGCAACTAATGCTCAAACATAATGTTCATCTTAGGTTTACAGGAATGTTGTCAAGGTCACGATGTCTTATTTCTGAATCCTGAGTGGTGTCTCGCTCGAAGAAAATGTTTTGTTGCGACAGATCTCCCCGGCTGCCCATGGTGTCATTGGTTGTACTCTGTGTGTCTGTCTGTGTGTCTGTCTCTCTGTCTGTCTGTCTGTCTGTATCGGCGCCCTCCCCTCTGCCGGTGACTGACAGGCGGCTGCGCGTGGTGCTGTTGCTCTGCACCCGCACCGTGTTTTTCTCGGCCGGCTTCCCGTGGGTGACGGTGCGCGGCCGGCGCGCCTCGGCGCGCGACGCGCCCATCATCGCCGTGGCGCCGCACTCGAGCTACTTTGACGTGCTGCCCGTGATCGTCATGGCGGCGCCCAGTGTGGTGGCCAAGATCGAGACGTCGCGCGCCGCCATGTTTGGCAGTAAGCGGCTCTGCCGGCGGCCTGCTGGCGCCCCTCCTCTCTGTCTCTCGCCAGGCTCTGCTCTCTCCCGGCTCCTAGCCATATTCAGTTTCGCTCTCCTCTTTTTGAGTTCCTCTGTTTGCTTCTTTCCACATAATGATCCAATCCCTACGTTGCTTTTTATGATTAGAGGTGGCAAAATGTGGACCCGAGGACCCGGTCCAAAGAACCAGTCTGGACCCATATGGGTCCACACCGGTTCCTGGAAATTTTCTGACGGGTCCAACCGGGTCCTACCATAAACTGTACATCTTGCACACTAAACATTATTGCAAAATATGAAGTGAATGAAGTGAATGTTTCTTGGCACAAAGTAGCTCATGAGTATTCCCATTGGGAAATAAGCTGCTTTTGATGCAACTAATGATACCTACAAGTAGTTTGTATTAATTGACTTTTGGGGAACCGGGTCCAACTGGTTCCGATTCCAACTAAGGCCGGGTCCGACTGGTTCCAGAAATGTCCAGCCGGGTCTGGTTCGAGTCTGGTTCCCAAAATTTTCATCTTTTGCCACCTCTATTTATGATCCTTCATTATGAACGTTTAATTCTCTCCGTTGTACCTTTTCACATATCCAATCTAAATCCTATTTTTTCCTTTTTCATTTTGTTTTCATCGGTTTCATCCCACTTATTCTGTTTCTCTTTTGGTTCCATCGTGTCCCTCAGAGAACCTGAATTGATTCATCCTGTAGGCCTTGTTGTTTCTTCTCGCATTTCCAGTTTCCCTGACTCATTTAGCAGCGAATCTTTCGCTATCTGTCATTCCTTCCTTGCTTTGCAGTCGGTGTAGTCTTGTGGGGATGGCGCTTGCTATAAATGTAACTTTCTGTGTGTATTCCGTCCTCGGTGTCGTATTACTGTTCAGCTTTGCGTTGTTGCGTTGCGTTGCGTTGCGTTGTTTTATTTCCACCGCTCTATTCTGTCCAATTTTTATCCGCCGGTCAGGTTACTCCGCGGCTCTGTTCCGGTACGACCGAGTTTGTTCCGTCGGCCCATGTCCTCCTCCCCCCCCCCCCCCGACCTCCCTCCTCACCCCGCCGGGAGAGCGGCACACGAGGCGGGCGACGGGTCGGGCGCACCGCGGGCGGCGACGGGTCGCAACGGGACGCAGTAGCGGACACTCACCGAGTCCAGACTCAGCGGCCGCCCCCGCCCCCGCCCCCGCCCATGTCCGGACCCCGGCCCGCGCGCCCGCCCGCCCACGCACGCTGCTCGCACGTCCATAAGCGGTAAGGGAACAACGCAGACACCCTGAGTTAGCGTGGCGGCTCGGGACAGGCGGTAGAGATAAAAGATGAGGGGGTACTGATAAGGCATCTTATCAGCTAGGGGACGACGCGGCGCGCGGCGAACGCGCGCGGCGGCTCGGGGTCGGGATGAAAGGGAGGGAGAGAGGGAAGGAGTAGGTAGAGAGAGAGACGGGGGGCGCAGGTGTTGTTTTGACGAACTGACGCTAAAGAAGGGGGAGGGGAGCGGGGGAAGAAATGGCCTGTGGATCTTCTCTGTGTGGGGACAGCGAGGACAGTCCAGCGAGAGCGCTTGAGCCTGGTGGAGTGTATACGAATTTCTCTGCGTGCAAACAAGAACTTTAACTGCTAACGAGAAGTTGTAGTGCCACGTGACTCAGACCTCCAACCGTGATACCAGTCGGGGCGCCAGAGGACACAGGACACAGGCCAGGTGAGGGTGGAGCTACTGGGAGGCAGTTGCAAACAGTAAACACCTACCTACCACTTAATGGATATTGCATCTCAAGGTGTCCAATCCTGCCAGTTAATGGCGCGCGGCGAACGCGCGCGGCGGCTCGGGATGAAATGGAGGGAGGGAGGGTGGGAGTAGGTAGAGAGAGAGAGAGAGAGAGAGACGGGTGAGGCAGGTGTTGTTTTGACGGTTTCGACTGACGCTAAAGAGGGGGGAGGGGGAGCGGGGGAAAGAAATGGCCTGTGGATCTACTCTGTGTGGGGTCAGAGGACAGTCCAGCGAGAGCGCTTGAGCGTGGCGGAGTGTATACGAATTTCTCTGCGTGCAAACAAGAACTTTAACTGCTAACGAGAAGTTGTAGTGCCACGTGACTCAGACCTCCAACCGTGATACCAGTCGGGGCGCCAGAGGACACAGGACACAGGCCAGGTGAGGGTGGAGCTACTGGGAGGCAGTTGCAAACAGTAAACACCTACCTACCACTTAATGGATATTGCATCTCAAGGTGTCCAATCCTGCCAGTTAATGGCGCGCGGCGAACGCGCGCGGCGGCTCGGGATGAAATGGAGGGAGGGAGGGTGGGAGTAGGTAGAGAGAGAGAGAGAGAGACGGGTGAGGCAGGTGTTGTTTTGACGGTTTCGACTGACGCTAAAGAGGGGGGGGAGGGGGAGCGGGGGAAAGAAATGGCCTGTGGATCTACTCTGTGTGGGGTCAGAGGACAGTCCAGCGAGAGCGCTTGAGCGTGGCGGAGTGTATACGAATTTCTCTGCGTGCAAACAAGAACTTTAACTGCTAACGAGAAGTTGTAGTGCCACGTGACTCAGACCTCCAACCGTGATACCAGTCGGGGCGCCAGAGGACACAGGACACAGGCCAGGTGAGGGTGGAGCTACTGGGAGGCAGTTGCAAACAGTAAACACCTACCTACCACTTAATGGATATTGCATCTCAAGGTGTCCAATCCTGCCAGTTAATGGCGCGCGGCGAACGCGCGCGGCGGCTCGGGATGAAATGGAGGGAGGGAGGGTGGGAGTAGGTAGAGAGAGAGAGAGAGAGAGACGGGTGAGGCAGGTGTTGTTTTGACGGTTTCGACTGACGCTAAAGAGGGGGGGAGGGGGAGCGGGGGAAAGAAATGGCCTGTGGATCTACTCTGTGTGGGGTCAGAGGACAGTCCAGCGAGAGCGCTTGAGCGTGGCGGAGTGTATACGAATTTCTCTGCGTGCAAACAAGAACTTTAAGTGCTAACGAGAAGTTGTAGTGCCACGTGACTCAGACCTCCAACCGTGATACCAATCGAGGCGCCAGAGGACACAGGTCACAGGCCAGGTAAGGGTGGAGCTGCCGGGAGGCAGTTTCAAACACCTACCACTTACTGGATATTGCATCTCAAGATGTCCAATCCTGCCTGTTCATGTGTATGCCTCATAAACAACGATAGCTGCAGAACGATAAGGTGGCGGTCTATAGGTTTTGGTCTGCATGTCAAATTGACTAATTTTCGTGTGAGATAACTCCCGACCAATGTCATACAGTTCACATATCGATTAGCATGCAGCCTGAAACACATTTCGCACAAGTTGCTCTCGCAACCAGCTAAATATCGTATCAATGCCGTAAAAAAGCGCTGCTAAAGAGCAGCGCTATTTCTGATGCGTTATTTTTCACGAACAACGCAAAGTCTTACGTCACCAGAGGCATCTTTGTCTCTTTATGATACGGAAACGCGTCCTTTTGGGTGGGGGTAGCGTCAATCTGGCTTCGTTCTTTTAACGGGTTCCGTCTTTCGTCTTCGTCCTTTTATGATAACCAAATTCCGTCTAATCTCAGAAATGACGGAGCGTCCCTCCGTTCTTTTCTTTATAAGAATGGCCACAGTGCTCGTCGAACCCGCTGCAGGCCGGGGGGTCAGTTGGACCTCCCGGCCGGAGCGCCGGCGCCGCCGCTGACTCGCCGTCCGGCCCTCCGCAGCACCATGCGCGAGCTTCAGGCGCTGAACGCGCGCGTGGCCTACTACCTGAGCGGCTGGGTGATCCGCATCCGCGGCACCATGTCGCGCGAGGCGCCCGTTCTGGTGGCCGCGCCGCACTCCACCTTCGGAGACGCGATCGTGCTCTTCTGCTCTGGCCTGCCGTCCATCATCTGCCGCAGCGAGACGATCGGCATGCCGTTCTTTGGCAGTACGTTGGACAGAGGAAGCTGAGACAGGGATAGGTTGCCGGCTCTCCGCGGTGCTAGGATCGGGCTGCGGGACTGGGGTGGCTCGGATAGCGTCATAATTGGTGGTGGAAGATCCAGGTAGCACCGCAGGCTGCCTATAATCGTCTCGCCCCTGAGCTGATAACAGTACAGCCAAGATTTATTTACTGTACAGCTATTGTTGGTTTACCTTCATATAAATATCATGGATATTCGATGGGCTATTTAGTTTCATTATGATCGTCATATCTGCTGTTCTAGTGTCCGCCGATCTTGACCCGTATAGCCATGCCCTGAGTGTGAGCTGGGTTAGAGACCACCGAAAGGCGAGACCCCAGCTCCTAGCGCGCCGCGGCCGGGCGGCGGCGAGCGGGCACACGAGCTCGGCGCGGCAGAAGGTAAGTGGGGGCGGACGTCCGAGGGAGGAAGCCGGGCCGGGGCGTGCCTGCCACGGGGCTGGATAGGCTAGTCGCCTCACGGGGTGGTGCCACATGTCACGTAGAGTACGCCTTCTTCACCACTGCACTCATCTTCAATGTCCACGCGTAACTTGCGACCCGCTTGGCGCTTCGGGTGAGCTTGGTAGAGTAGTGGCTCGTCGGGAGGGGTGGCTGGTTAATGGGTGGCACCCTATGCTACTGGTTTGAAGTCTATGTGTGTTTTGTACTTTCTTTGTTATAAATTGTCCAGTCGTTTACTTGTGCTGAACCTGAATGCACTAGAAGTCTCGCAAAAATGATACGCGTAACTAATTGAATTACATCGTAACGCAATATCTTGATGTCGATCGATTAAAGCCTACCTTTGATGACATATCTTTTCGATAAGTTATTCATATAGGGACAGCTTCCTGTTGTTCTACCGTTCCCCTCGTTCCCGGTACGCTCTGCGGCGCGAGCAGCCCCGCCGTCTACATGACGCCCCGTCTGTGCCGCGCCTCCAGAGCTGATCGACTACACCCAGCCGGTGTACGTGTCGCGAGAAGACCCCAACTCGCGCCAGAACACCATCCGCGAGATCCAGCGGCGCGCTCACAGCAACGGCCAGTGGCCGCAGGTGAGCCGTGCGCATCATCCGGCCGTTCGTCCGTTCGTCTGTGCGTTCGTCTGTGCGGGCGGGCGGGTGGTTGTTCGTTCGTTCGTTCGTTCGTTCGTTCGTTCGTTTGTTCGTTCGTTTGTTCGTCCGTCCGTCCGTCCGTTCTCGTTTGTTTGCACGTGGTTGCGTGCATTTGTTGGTCCGTTCGTTCGTTCGTTCGTTCGTTTGTTCGTTCGCTCGTTCGTTCGTTCGTTCGTTCGTTCGTTCGTTCGTTCGTTCGTTCGTTCGTTCGTTCGTTCGTTCGTTCGTCCATTTGTTCATTCATGCATTCATTCGTTCATTCATCATTCATTCATTCATCATTCATTCATTCATCAACGCTTTCTCGTAACTATGCAAAACTGAGGAAAATTGTAACCAAGGATTGTAGAGAAATGAAGTCCTACCTGTTTAGAGACACTTGAAACAAGTGCAGTAATTAAACGAGCAAAGGACTGCTTGTTGCCGGGTATAGGTATACATACGGCCCATCGAGCTGGTGAGCTGTGATACCGGTAAACCAGGCACCGATGGTTAGTTATGTGAGAGGGTAGGGCCTTGGCGACGCCGGCTGCTCGGTACCGAAATAGAGACCGGCTGCTAGCTGACCCCGTGCCGCCGTTACACGCGCCGCCATGCCGTGTAATCCCGTAGATTGGGACCGAAATAAAAGCCGACGGCTAGCTGAGCACGTGCGGCCGTTTGTGGTGTGTAACCCCCCGGCCCCCGGACACACTGCACTGGCACGCGTGCGAACTTTACCGCTAGTCGCAAAACAATTCACGCTTTAGGTAGGTGAATAAAAAATGATCAATTTAGGATTCATGTTTAGCTAAATAGACGATGAATAGATGGTGTTTAAAAAGCTTACAGGCGAAGTCACAGTTCATTTTGCGCCGTTCGGTTCGGCCCTGTAAATGTTGACATTATCATTCTATATGGAATGACATTATCATTCACGATCTATCGTGAAATGCCCCAGGTGTTTGTCCATCACAAGTCCCAGGTTTCTGACGGTCGCCGACTCACAAACAGTAGCACCGGCAAACCTAATGCTGATGGGCTGCAGGCCTCTCAGCATCTGGCGCGTACCGAGTACAATCATCTGCGATTTGGATGCATTCACTTTCATGTCATTCGTGCAAAACCACGTAAACAGGTCAGACAGTGCCTCCTCCATTCTCGAGATCAGAGAAGTCAGATCGTCCTTCCTTCCAGATATCATTAGCTGAGTGTCGTCAGCGTATTGTACTATATATAATAACGTCACTCATGTATAGTCTCTCTTGAAAGTATCGCGACTCGGAGGGGAGGGCGCTACCTGTGCCAGCCGCGGTTCAGCGGAAAAGTATGAGAGCCACTGGTAGCACTGACCAGTGACCAAGCCTGGCACGCGGCGGCAGCCAGCGCGGCGGGCCGAGGGGAGTGGTTACGGAGGGAAAGGGGATGAGCCGGAGCGGGCGGTTGCCGCCCGGTAACTTGTGATAGCAGTAAGCATGTGGTCAACGGAAGCTACCCTACTCGCAGAGGATTTGTTGAGATTTGTTTCATTACAAAGCTGGAAATCTGAGTTCTGACCCGTCATCGGTACGACTACCGCAGGTTTTTGGTGTAATCCGGAAACTCGTGCAAGAATACGAGAAAAAAACATCAGTTGCACCCGATAATAAAATGCATCTGTGGCTGCAGGAGCACCCGCCCGCTAGCGGATTCCAATCACAAAAATGTCTGCTCTCTAGCCACTTAGTCCTGTATTTGAGCGTTCTCTCTTTCTCTCTCTCTTTCTCACACTGAGTTAACAGTGATTGGCGCCCACTAAGGCAGACCAATGAGCGCCCGGCTGGAGAACCCAAGCGGCGCAGGTATTGGCCTGGGGCGGTGGACGGGGTCAAGGGAAAGCGATACGAGCATGACCTCTGGCCGGCCTCCACCTGTTTCGACCCAGCTGACAGCCGCTGGTGCCTGCGTCATACAGTAGTTTTCCTTCTAACGCTGGCGTAGGATCGTGTTACAGCGTACATTTTATGATACAGGCCATGACCTCACTGCTGGGGTCCTCAAACTGAATGGAATAGTTCGCCGAGCCGCCGCAGCCCATGACGCGATACTTTCAAGAGAGACTATACAAGCACAGATCGTTCGCAAAAATTGAAAACAAGAGACAACTGAGCGAACCGCCTTGGAATACGCCTGTCGTGATCGGTAATGACTGTGAGAGACTAAAAGAGCCGTCGCTGTTCCGCACTTTGACTTGTTGGGAATGCCCCTGGAGATAATGCCGAAACCAGGTTGTGTCGATGTTGTACAAATGTAGCTTGTTGAGTATCTTATCGTGGCTAATGACGTCAAAACGTTTTGAAAGATCGATGAGTACAAGAATTGACACTTCTCCGTTGTCCATGGCCCTATATACTTTGTCCGTGATTACTGTCAGCGCCGTCTCGGTGGAGCGGCCGCGCCGGTAGCCGTACTGTGCGTCAGTGAACAGCTGGTGCTGGTTGAAATACTCGGTCACCTGACACTGCACCACGCGCTCGACAACTTTCATGACACTGGGCAACATGGAGATGGGCCTGGTGTTTGACGGCTGTGAGCTGTCAGCACCCTTCGGAATGGCAGTGACCAAAACATGTTTCCAGCTCGCTGGTACTAAGCCGGTTTCCAGTGAAGAGTTAATGGTATCTAACAGCAGGTGTCCTAGTCCATGAAAGAATTTTTTGAACATGTTGACACTGACATCATCAAGCCCAAGACGAATTTTTCATATCACGGATGAGGCGGTACAAGTATTCGTATGTGATTGACTGCAGTCGGAATGCACACGTGATCACTCGAGGGATCCTGACTGGCAGGGCCGTCTGAGGGACAGGGACATTGGCTACCGTACTGGGGCCCACACCCACATAGTACGTGTTGAGCACGTCCGGCGTGCAAGCCGGTGTGGCCGTAGCGGCTCCTCTACCCGTTCCGATAACAGGTCGCAACACTGTCACATCTTCGCCGGTCCTGCTTCGCGCAGCTGGTCAGCGTAGTAATTAGCGTGATCGTGCCTGATAGCAGCACGGCACTGTCTGTTCACCACTTTATACTCGGCACGGCTGCCGGCCGCCGGGCTGAGTAGGGCGCGGCGCCGCGCTAGCAGTTCCCGAGTGGCGTCCGTGATACGTGGCGCGCTCGTCGGTGGAAGCCGCACGCGCCGGCACACACTGGTCGGAAACGCCCTTACGAGAGGCCACGGGCGATTCCGGAGTTTCGGATTATTTTTTATATAGATCGATTTGAAATTGATCAAATTATTATACTTAGGCCAAAAAAAAAAACTAATCCGGGTGACCAAAAATAACTGTAATCAGCCCCCGAAGATGGGGTATCCCAGAACTCGGAAACTGACGCGGAGCAAGAGGTTTCTTGAGCCGGATATTCAGAGTCTTATTGCTGATAGACACCAAATTGAAATCCCACATATTATGCATCAAAATGTTTGTTATGAAGTTGCCGACTGGTCAGTGCAAAATTTTTGGCATACTAATCCTTAACTAAGATGTACTATAGCTTTTTTATGAAGGCTCTCCTACAGTGATTCTGGAATATAACTGCAAAGTTTAGGTAAGGAAACAACAGGCAGTCCCATATAGTTCCACTCTGATTTTTTGTGAGATGAAGTAGGATTTAAATTTACACCAGGGCAACATAAAAGCTAACTGCGCATATTTGCGCAAAATTTGCATGAGCCGCTCTTCCTACCCAACCACCGCCCGTCCCGCCCCAGTTTCGGCTCGGCCGCCGCGCCCGGCTTACGCTGACCTGTGTGGCCTGCACGCATCCATGCGTAGTTGACTGGTCATTAAAAACAGATGCGCTTAACCCTATTAGTGGCAGGGGGGTTGTTTTCATCCACCCCTCAGGTTTTTCGGGAATATCTCCGAAACCGCTGAAGCTACGATGCTGAAATTTTCTGACTTTTCCTAAAACTAAATTGGGCACATTCCCTGAAAATTTCAAGGTCATAGGGTAGTGTGGGGTAATTTGAACATATTTTTACGTCTTCTCCGTTGTACCAAATTCCAGCTCAACCCTGGATGAAGAAAAACTGTTTCAGTAGCGCATGTGTCACTTGCTTTCACAATGCAGGCCTCATTTTTGGACGAGCCGAGCATACCTTGAATAGCATAGCATCACTTCTCCACCAAGTCACGGTGTGTTCAAATTGCCCCACCGTGGGGTAATTTGAACATACTGCCTTTACCTGCCATAAAAACGATAGTCTCGCCAGCACCGATGTTGTTTGACCCATAAACGCATAGGCAGAGCAATTCTAAACATACCTTCATTTGAAAAATCAACACAACAACAAAAATAAGAGTTGCAGAGTATCAATATCTGCACGCTGCACACCGGTCAGTTGCCAGAATTCGCCTCTCTTCATTTAACAGAACGTCTATCATCTCCGTTCGATAAAAACTCTACCAAACCTTACTTCATCTGTTATAGTGGTGCCAATCGGAACCTGGACATTCGGTGTTCCGATTCTTTATAATGTCAAATTTGGAATTGATTGCACAAAGGTATAGTAATCTGGACAACATTGGACGATGGCCTGCCACACTTAAGCATTTTTATCAAGTAATCGTGCGTAGCATCGATTGGCGAATGGAAAGCTTGTTAAGCTCTCAATATAATGGACACTTTTCGGCTGGTAAAATTACATGATAAGCAATATAAATGACGGTTTCGAGTGTTGATAGCTGCATAATTTTCGGACATATTTGGACAAATAGTTGACTTTAACATTTTTGGACGGAAAATCAACGAAAATGCCGGACATTAGACGGATATTAGACGTAAATTTTCTAAAACTGGCATCACTTATCTGCTACTGCTTTCGGTCGAAAATATTGGCAAAAAAAAAAACTGGGAGCGTTGTTTTTTCGGAGCTATCCCTGTCTTCATTGAAATTCTCACACTATGTTCAAATTACCCCACGCTAAAAGTTATTTTGCCATTTAAAAAAACAGGGTTCAAAAGCAAATTTCTTGGATTGAAGGCACTGATTAGGTCATTCCACAACAAAAGCCGTTGCGTATTAGGCGCTAGCAATGCAAGATTTTGCGCTGCAATGAAGTTGCAATGACGTGTTGTTAGGCGTTTATCCTTCGAAATTGATTTTTTACACTGTTCATCAACACCTTCATTCCCTGAAACTTTAAACCCCGTTCATATGATAGCCCTTTTAGTTACGACAATTTCTCTCATTGGTCTTATTGTCATGCCACTTATGGATTTTCCGTCATTTTGTGTTATTCACACTATGTTCAAATTGCCCCACATGTTCAAATTACCCCACCCTACCCTACCTTTACCAGGGGCGGCTCCAGAGCACTGGGAATTGGGGGGTCCTATTCGTGAAGCGAGTCATTTGGGCGAAGATCACGATGCTGATGTATTATAACTGTATGCACCAGTTTTACGAACAGTGAATGAAAGGTATCATGTGATAACATATACAAAGTTATTGTGCATCCTCTTTTGACACGTTTTTGCTATAATAGGCGGATCCAGGCGTCCAAAAAGGGGGTTATGTTTTACCTCCCAACATAGGTGCCCTGACACCGCCTATGCATGACCAATACAATTGTAGTCGTTCTCTCATAAGAAAATTGTAACATAACAAGACCATTACCACCCTTTTTAGAAACAGTACCAACAAAAACCTTATTTACTATACTTTTTGTGTACCCCCAATCTCAATGATCTGTATCCGCCTATGATTTTTGAAAATGCATATTTTTAGGATCCATGTGAATTCCTGGTTCATTCTCTATCGATCGGCAAAAGTTGCGTTAAGATTGGTTCAGAAACCTGGCCGTGATAAACAGTCTAAAATGTATCTGCAATTTGCCCGTTTTTACCCCCCTCTACCCCCCTATTGACATTTTTTTAATTTTTATTTTTTTAGGAATGTAGATCACGTTGAGCGAAATCGAATGCCGCTTGAATTTTGAAAATCGGCCCGTTGGATCTCGAGATATCAAGGGGGGTCGTAAACAGCCCCCCTGCCACTAATAGGGGTAGCCAGGAGCCTGCCACTAACAGGGTTAAAGGGACCCTCCCACCTTAACATTAAATTTGAGTTGAGATAGCCAAAATGGGGTCCCTGGCTCACAATTACCGGTTTCGGCACTCACAACATCGAGAAATGCCTTAAATCGGAAATATTGAATTTCAAAATTGCAGCATTTTGATTCAGAGGGGCTAATGCATTGGAATACCCCTCTGAATGTGTGACGTCAGTGCAGATATCTAACGATTTTTAAATGTTTGACTAAAACATTTTGTAGCACGCGGTGGTATATGCTGCTTTGCGCGCAACAAGTGCCGCACTTTCAGCTGCCAAACTATTGCTTCCAAGTAAAGTCGCTAGGAACAGCGTAGATCCCAAAAAGTAAACAAAAGTAAAAGTCTAATATCTTGAAAACCGGTGAATATTTTTCGGTGAAATTTGGTAGATATTCGTTTTCGCTCTTTCTGAACCGAGCGACATCACTTTCATGCCAATTCATAAACTTTTTTGAAGGTGGGAGGGTCCCTTTAAGTTTATGAATTTTGTGAAAAGCGCGTTTTATGTATGCATTTATGTATGTATTGACATCAAAAGCCTTCCACATATTGCGTGGCGATTATGGCTTGCATTTAGAGAGCCTTGCTATTGACAACCATCACTCGGCTGAAGAAAGTGGAAATTGAAACCTTCGTGAATATAAGACGCTGCAAATATAGGACACCTGTCACTGACGTCGGGTTACCTTGGGCCGTCTTTTTACATTAGATCACAATTCCGGTATTTAACCCTGGCCGGACCGATTGGTTTTCTATATTGACCGGGGAGGGTTGGTACAACTCCCTCGCCGTTTCGCCTCTAATTGAGCTAGAGCCTCGCGAAAAAAACAAGCTTGTGTGCCGTTATAAGACGCAAAAATTAGGTACTACCGGATTTTAAGGTCTTAGGTCAGCCAGTGACCTCTTAGGTCAGATAAGTGCCACAAGTCACGGGCTCGGTTTTAGTTTAATTACTTTGCCAAAAATGGTCGCACTACCGCGATTTTGGCATCATCGTGTTTGTCTAGCTCAGGCGCGTTGAATGCTATACTTGGTGTTCGGGTGAAGTCAACTTAAGGTGTTAACCTCGGGTCAAGGTCAGGTCGGAGCCCCTCAGGTCACGAAAATGGTTGAAGGTCATATTGCATATCATTCGATTCGGCAGGTCTTCCTGAGTCCAATGGTGGCTTTCCCGTCTCTCTAGCTCTATCTGATCAGGAGTTATTGACGAAATTCTTATATGGCCTTAGTGACGTCATAAATGACGTCACGCAAAGTCAACAATGCTAAAGTCAAGCACTGGACCTTGCAAGGAGTGCATGAAACCATTACCGGTGCCCGAATAGCAGCTCCCAATTTCCCTTGTTGACTTAAAGTGGTGGTAGATCCTGTATTATACTAAATTATGACGTCATAACTTAACAGATTCACGTCATATATTTAGTGCTTGACATCCAAATGATAGCTTACATATGACAGAGAAGGTATGCAAAGTTGACTACCCCTACCACTATGGTTATTTATTACACTATGGTTAGGTATATTATAAGTTGTGACTGCCGTGAGAATGTTTTTTTTTTTAGGATGTCATTATACTTTTCATTATGGGTGGATTTCCCCGCAACATTACAATTTTGGACACACTGCCTGTGCCCCTGTCCCAGCTGACCTCTGCTCGCCCTCCGGCCCTGTCTCAGCTGACCTGTGCCCCTGTCTCAGCTGACCTCTGCTCGTCCTCCGGCCCTGTCTCAGCTGACCTGTGCCCCTGTCTCAGCTGACCTCTGCTCGCCCTCCGGCCCTGTCTCAGCTGACTTGTGCCCCTGTCTCAGCTGACCTCTGCTCGCCCTCCGGCCCTGTCTCAGCTGACCTGTGCCCCTGTCTCAGCTGACCTCTGCTCGCCCTCCGGCCCTGTCTCAGCTGACCTGTGCCCCTGTCTCAGCTGACCTCTGCCCCTGTCTCTGCTGACCTGTGCCCCTGTCCCAGCTGACCTGTGCCCCTGTCTCAGCTGACCTCTGCCCCTGACCCCTCTGGCCCCTGTCTCAGGCGGCGCTGATGACCGTGTTCGTCCTGTCGTTCCGCATCATGGGCGTGTGCCTGTGCGTGCTCATCGGCTGGATGTTCGCCTGCATCGGCCTCTACGGAATGACCGAGGAGGAGCGCAACCAGCCGCTCAGAGGCTGGCGCAGGTCAGGCTCCGGCGGCATTACACCTTTTCTCGGCGCCGCGCCACCCCTCTCTAGTTGAGTCGGTGTGATGGTGTCCATCATACATCTGTCTTCCTATACCCCTTGGTTCTAAGCCATCCTTACCATTGCTTAAAGGTGGGCAACTAATGCTCAAACATAATGTTCATCTTAGGTTTACAGGAATGTTGTCAAGGTCACGATGTCTTATTTCTGAATCCTGAGTGGTGTCTCGCTCGAAGAAAATGTTTTGTTGCGACAGATCTCCCCGGCTGCCCATGGTGTCATTGGTTGTACTCTGTGGGTCTGTCTGTGTGTCTGTCTCTCTGTCTGTCTGTCTGTCTGTCTGTATCGGCGCCCTCCCCTCTGCCGGTGACTGACAGGCGGCTGCGCGTGGTGCTGTTGCTCTGCACCCGCACCGTGTTTTTCTCGGCCGGCTTCCCGTGGGTGACGGTGCGCGGCCGGCGCGCCTCGGCGCGCGACGCGCCCATCATCGCCGTGGCGCCGCACTCGAGCTACTTTGACGTGCTGCCCGTGATCGTCATGGCGGCGCCCAGTGTGGTGGCCAAGATCGAGACGTCGCGCGCCGCCATGTTTGGCAGTAAGCGGCTCTGCCGGCGGCCTGCTCGCGCCCCTCCTCTCTGTCTCTCGCCAGGCTCTGCTCTCTCCCGGTTCCTAGCCATATTCAGTTTCGCTCTCCTCTTTTTGAGTTCCTCTGTTTGCTTCTTTCCACATAATGATCCAATCCCTACGTTGCTTTTTATGATCCTTCATTATGAACGTTTAATTCTCTCCGTTGTACCTTTTCACATATCCAATCTAAATCCTATTTTTTCCTTTTTCATTTTGTTTTCATCGGTTTCATCCCACTTATTCTGTTTCTCTTTTGGTTCCATCGTGTCCCTCAGAGAACCTGAATTGATTCATCCTGTAGGCCTTGTTGTTTCTTCTCGCATTTCCAGTTTCCCTGACTCATTTAGCAGCGAATCTTTCGCTATCTGTCATTCCTTCCTTGCTTTGCAGTCGGTGTAGTCTTGTGGGGATGGCGCTTGCTATAAATGTAACTTTCTGTGTGTATTCCGTCCTCGGTGTCGTATTACTGTTCAGCTTTGCGTTGTTGCGTTGCGTTGCGTTGCGTTGTTTTATTTCCACCGCTCTATTCTGTCCAATTTTTATCCGCCGGTCAGGTTACTGCGCGGCTCTGTTCCGGTACGACCGAGTTTGTTCCGTCGGCCCATGTCCTCCTCCCCCCCCCCGACCTCCCTCCTCACCCCGCCGGGAGAGCGGCACACGAGGCGGGCGACGGGTCGGGCGCACCGCGGGCGGCGACGGGTCGCAACGGGACACAGTAGCGGGCGGACACTCACCGAGTCCAGACTCAGCGGCCGCCCCCGCCCCCGCCCCCGCCCATGTCCGGACCCCGGCCCGCGCGCCCGCCCGCCCACTCACGCTGCTCGCACGTCCATAAGCGGTAAGGGAACAACGCAGACACCCTGAGTTAGCGTGGCGGCTCGGGACAGGCGGTAGAGATAAAAGATGAGGGGGTACTGATAAGGCATCTTATCAGCTAGGGGACGACGCGGCGCGCGGCGAACGTGCGCGGCGGCTCGGGGTCGGGATGAAAGGGAGGGAGAGAGGGAAGGAGTAGGTAGAGAGAGAGACGGGGGGCGCAGGTGTTGTTTTGACGAACTGACGCTAAAGAGGGGGGAGGGGAGCGGGGGAAGAAATGGCCTGTGGATCTTCTCTGTGTGGGGACAGCGAGGACAGTCCAGCGAGAGCGCTTGAGCCTGGTGGAGTGTATACGAATTTCTCTGCGTGCAAACAAGAACTTTAACTGCTAACGAGAAGTTGTAGTGCCACGTGACTCAGACCTCCAACCGTGATACCAGTCGGGGCGCCAGAGGACACAGGACACAGGCCAGGTGAGGGTGGAGCTACTGGGAGGCAGTTGCAAACAGTAAACACCTACCTACCACTTAATGGATATTGCATCTCAAGGTGTCCAATCCTGCCAGTTAATGGCGCGCGGCGAACGCGCGCGGCGGCTCGGGATGAAATGGAGGGAGGGAGGGTGGGAGTAGGTAGAGAGAGAGAGAGAGAGAGAGAGAGAGAGAGAGAGAGAGAGAGAGAGACGGGTGAGGCAGGTGTTGTTTTGACGGTTTCGACTGACGCTAAAGAGGGGGGGAGGGGGAGCGGGGGAAAGAAATGGCCTGTGGATCTACTCTGTGTGGGGTCAGAGGACAGTCCAGCGAGAGCGCTTGAGCGTGGCGGAGTGTATACGAATTTCTCTGCGTGCAAACAAGAACTTTAAGTGCTAACGAGAAGTTGTAGTGCCACGTGACTCAGACCTCCAACCGTGATACCAGTCGAGGCGCCAGAGGACACAGGTCACAGGCCAGGTAAGGGTGGAGCTGCCGGGAGGCAGTTTCAAACACCTACCACTTACTGGATATTGCATCTCAAGATGTCCAATCCTGCCTGTTCATGTGTATGCCTCATAAACAACGATAGCTGCAGAACGATAAGGTGGCGGTCTATAGGTTTTGGTCTGCATGTAAAATGACTAATTTTCGTGTGAGATAACTCCCGACCAATGTCATACAGTTCACATATCGATTAGCATGCAGCCTGAAACACATTTCGCACAAGTTGCTCTCGCAACCAGCTAAATATCGTATCAATGCCGTAAAAAAGCGCTGCTGAAGAGCAGCGCTATTTCTGATGCGTTATTTTTCACGAACAACGCAAAGTCTTACGTCACCAGAGGCGTCTTTGTCTCTTTATGATACGGAAACGCGTCCTTTTGGGTGGGGGTAGCGTCAATCTGGCTTCGTTCTTTTAACGGGTTCCGTCTTTCGTCTTCGTCCTTTTATGATAACCAAATTCCGTCTAATCTCAGAAATGACGGAGCGTCCCTCCGTTCTTTTCTTTATAAGAATGGCCACAGTGCTCGTCGAACCCGCTGCAGGCCGGGGGGTCAGTTGGACCTCCCGGCCGGAGCGCCGGCGCCGCCGCTGACTCGCCGTCCGGCCCTCCGCAGCACCATGCGCGAGCTTCAGGCGCTGAACGCGCGCGTGGCCTACTACCTGAGCGGCTGGGTGATCCGCATCCGCGGCACCATGTCGCGCGAGGCGCCCGTTCTGGTGGCCGCGCCGCACTCCACCTTCGGAGACGCGATCGTGCTCTTCTGCTCTGGCCTGCCGTCCATCATCTGCCGCAGCGAGACGATCGGCATGCCGTTCTTTGGCAGTACGTTGGACAGAGGAAGCTGAGACAGGGATAGGTTGCCGGCTCTCCGCGGTGCTAGGATCGGGCTGCGGGACTGGGGTGGCTCGGATAGCGTCATAATTGGTGATGGAAGATCCAGGTAGCACCGCAGGCTGCCTATAATCGTCTCGCCCCTGAGCTGATAACAGTACAGCCAAGATTTATTTACTGTACAGCTATTGTTGGTTTACCTTCATATAAATATCATGGATATTCGATGGGCTATTTAGTTTCATTATGATCGTCATATCTGCTGTTCTAGTGTCCGCCGATCTTGACCCGTATAGCCATGCCCTGAGTGTGAGCTGGGTTAGAGACCACCGAAAGGCGAGACCCCAGCTCCTAGCGCGCCGCGGCCGGGCGGCGGCGAGCGGGCACACGAGCTCGGCGCGGCAGAAGGTAAGTGGGGGCGGACGTCCGAGGGAGGAAGCCGGGCCGGGGCGTGCCTGCCACGGGGCTGGATAGGCTAGTCGCCTCACGGGGTGGTGCCACATGTCACGTAGAGTACGCCTTCTTCACCACTGCACTCATCTTCAATGTCCACGCGTAACTTGCGACCCGCTTGGCGCTTCGGGTGAGCTTGGTAGAGTAGTGGCTCGTCGGGAGGGGTGGCTGGTTAATGGGTGGCACCCTATGCTACTGGTTTGAAGTCTATGTGTGTTTTGTACTTTCTTTGTTATAAATTGTCCAGTCGTTTACTTGTGCTGAACCTGAATGCACTAGAAGTCTCGCAAAAATGATACGCGTAACTAATTGAATTACATCGTAACGCAATATCTTGATGTCGATCGATTAAAGCCTACCTTTGATGACATATCTTTTCGATAAGTTATTCATATAGGGACAGCTTCCTGTTGTTCTACCGTTCCCCTCGTTCCCGGTACGCTCTGCGGCGCGAGCAGCCCCGCCGTCTACATGACGCCCCGTCTGTGCCGCGCCTCCAGAGCTGATCGACTACACCCAGCCGGTGTACGTGTCGCGAGAAGACCCCAACTCGCGCCAGAACACCATCCGCGAGATCCAGCGGCGCGCCCACAGCAACGGCCAGTGGCCGCAGGTGAGCCGTGCGCATCATCCGGCCGTTCGTCCGTTCGTCTGTGCGTTCGTCTGTGCGGGCGGGCGGGTGGTTGTTCGTTCGTTCGTTCGTTCGTTCGTTCGTTCGTTTGTTCGTTCGTTTGTTCGTCCGTCCGTCCGTCCGTCCGTCCGTCCGTCCGTCCGTCCGTCCGTCCGTCCGTCCGTCCGTCCGTCCGTCCGTTCTCGTTTGTTTGCACGTGGTTGCGTGCATTTGTTGGTCCGTTCGTTCGTTCGTTCGTTCGTTCGTTCGTTCGTTCGTTCGCTCGTTCGTTCGTTCGTTCGTTCGTTCGTTCGTTCGTTCGTTCGTTCGTTCGTTCGTCCATTTGTTCATTCATGCATTCATTCGTTCATTCATCATTCATTCATTCATCATTCATTCATTCATCATTCATTCATTCATCATTCATTCATTCATCAACGCTTTCTCGTAACTATGCAAAACTGAGGAAAATTGTAACCAAGGATCGTAGAGAAATGAAGTCCTACCTGTTTAGAGACACTTGAAACAAGTGCAGTAATTAAACGAGCAAAGGACTGCTTGTTGCCGGGTATAGGTATACATACGGCCCATCGAGCTGGTGAGCTGTGATACCGGTAAACCAGGCACCGATGGTTAGTTATGTGAGAGGGTAGGGCCTTGGCGACGCCGGCTGCTCGGTACCGAAATAGAGACCGGCTGCTAGCTGACCCCGTGCCGCCGTTACACGCGCCGCCATGCCGTGTAATCCCGTAGATTGGGACCGAAATAAAAGCCGACGGCTAGCTGAGCACGTGCGGCCGTTTGTGGTGTGTAACCCCCTGGCCCCCGGACACACTGCACTGGCACGCGTGCGAACTTTACCGCTAGTCGCAAAACAATTCACGCTTTAGGTAGGTGAATAAAAAATGATCAATTTAGGATTCATGTTTAGCTAAATAGACGATGAATAGATGGTGTTTAAAAAACTTACAGGCGAAGTCACAGTTCATTTTGCGCCGTTCGGTTCGGCCCTGTAAATGTTGACATTATCATTCTATATGGAATCCCCAGAATCTCAGCTGTCGCGGTTGTTCAGTTTGTTTTGTTTAGTCCCGTCCTCGACGCCCGTGCCGTCGCTGTCTCGGTCCCGATGTCGCCTCTCCGCTGTGGAACAGCCGGCCCCATGGCCGCCCCACTGTGACTCAGCGGTCGTATCGACGCCCGCGCGACCCCCACCCTCCACCGCCGCGCCGCGGCCGGCCGGGACGGGACGGGACGGGACGGGCACCACTGTTTGCACGACTCGTGTCGACCCAAACCAGCCGGGTCAACTGACCGCTGCGCTGCCTCCGTCCGCGACCCTGTCCTGTATGTGAACAGATAGACGATGTCACAACGTTTTCAGAGGACAGAAGATACCCACGAGGGTGGGAAGTGACGGGGATGTTACAGCAGAAACGTAGCGATGAGTTTTCTCTCGATTTGCCACGGGCTTCTTTGAAAGGTGTTGCCAGTGGCGTCACCACGGTTTCAGAACTTCTAGGGACACTTTTCCAGGGCGTCGCCACAAACCTTTGCTTGAGTCTGGTCGGCATTACCCACCTACTCCCAAATCTGCGTACCTCGTTGGATTTCGGCCACTCTAATTTAAAAACGAGGGAGAATAATTAATATTTAGTTGGAAAAAAAACGAAGAAGTTACGCGGTAGTAGGCATGTTGTTCGATCATGAAACGCGTGCCCACATCCTTCTGCCTATGCATGCAGGGACGGTCGCAGACTTGGCGTTTGAGGGGGGGGGGGGCAGCTTGGCAAAGAGGCCCTGTCGACCCTCGGGAGGCCCAGTGCCTCCCGAGCCCCATTATTGCAGGGGCCCCATTATTAACATACAGGCCTTTGAGGCCGGTATGGTAATATGGGGCCACTGTGGTAATTTGATGGCCGTTATGGTGCTATGGGGCCCCAGAGGCCGGTGTGGGCCCTCAGAGGCCAGTGCATGACGCCCAAAGGTAAGTCTTGGGCCCCAGAGAACATAATAGGGCCATCAGTGGCCGGTTTAGTGACCTCATAGGCTGGTTGGGGCCCATAGAGACCAGTTTGGGACCCGCAGAGGCTAGCGTGGGGCCTCAGATGTCACTGTGGGGCTTTTAAAGACTGGTATGGGTCCTTAGAGACCGGCATCGATCCTTCAGAAGCCAGTACGGGCCCTCAGAGGCACGTAAGGGCCAGTCTTGGGTCTCCAGGGCAGAAACTGGGCCATCAGAGGTCGGTGTGTTTAGAGGTCGGTTTGGGCCCTCAGAGACCAGTTAAGGGCCTAATGGCAGTTTGAGACCATCAGAGGCCGACTTGGGCTCTCAGAGGCTAATGTGGGTCATTACAGGCAGGCATGGAACACTCAGGGGTTAGTGTGGGGCCCTAAAAGACCGGCATGGGCTGGCGTTGGACCTCAGAGGCCAGCAGAGGGCCCTCAGAGCCCAAGATAGCCCCCCAAAGGCCAATGCAAGCCATAAAAGGGCCGTTATCGGATCTTCCGAATCCAGTGCGGGACCCTCCGATGCTGATATGGGCCCTTACAGGGTGTCTCATAAGTTCTTTTTTTTTATTTGCTGAAGTTTATTGAACACGGCGCACTTCACAGCTTATTGCACAGACAACAATCACCAAACACAAATCGCAGACACAAACTGCAACAGCGTGCAGCAATACCGCTTATTTCTGGCCGGGGTTGGGATCGTCAGCACATGCATAGCAGGACACACAGCATGCACAACATAGTAAACTCGATTGTCGAAGACAGTGAGCGGGCGCCACTCCTTCCGTTTCGATTGTTCCTTGGCGTAACGAATCACGGGCCGCGGGCCCCCGCCCGCACCCCCGGAAAATCATTTTTCCCGGGGGTGCCCCCTAACCACCGCCCGGGCGAGGGGAGCGCCGACCCGACCCGACACTCGACAGGCCGGCGACAGGTTTATCTCTAATATTACTGGATATAAATGTTTTATTTGGGTTTATTTCGCTATTTGTACTGTATTTTTGTTCAAACATGTTTGAAAAGTTCTCTAAAATTTCTTTTGCATCTGTGATATTTCTCTCACCGACCTGAATGTATTGTATATTTTTTCTATCCGCATTTCTTTTTTCTAAAGAGAGAAAGTATTTTGAATTCCTTTCTCCTTTCTCGTGCCAGGATACTCTTGATCTGACGATGAGTCCGTCTATAAGTGGACGCCTTAGTTCCTCTAATTCATTCTTTAGTATGTCTAACTGAACAGAGTCGTTTGCCTGGCCAGAACTAGTTAACTTTTCTTCTGCGATCATTATTTTTCTCTCTAAACTTTTCTCTCTCTGCCTCGTGTGTCTTGCTTTTTGTTTTGAAAACTGCACGGTTTCTCCTCGTAACATCATAAGCAATGTTTCATAAAATAAGCAATCGCTTATAGTAAGCTGAATTTCTTGGTATTGTGTACTGTCACTGTAAAAAACCTCTTGATAGACGGGGACCGCATATTGTTTTAGCGTGTGGGTAATGCATGCTTTAATTCTTTTTACATATTCTTCATCCTTCAAATGTGCAGTGTTAAGCTTCCATATTCCATTACCCCTCTTGTTTTTGCTTTGAATTTCTAGAGTAATCATATTGTGATCGGTGCGATACCCAGGAATGATGTCAATCGAGTTCAATGAAGTTAATGAGCCTTCGGAAACAAAATACATGTCAAGGCGTCCAGCTTTCAGTGGGCTTTTTCTGTACCATGTGTACTTTTTGTCCTCTGGATGTGCGTGCCGCCATGCATCAACAAGTCCGTGCTTATATGTGAGGTCTAAGAAGGTTCTTTTGGCTCGAACGTTATTTTCGCCAGCGTAATTATAAGAATCTACTTGAGGTGATATGACGAAGTTGAAGTCCCCACCCATAATAATATGTTGTGCATCAAATTGTTCTAATGTATTATTAAGCTGTCTGTAAAACATAGGATTATCTTCATTAGGTCCATAAATGCTTACTAGAAGAAATGATTCGTTGTTAATTTTTACGTTTAACAGTACAAAGTTTCCGCAATCTGAACTTACTTCTTTTATGAGTGTATATTGTAAATTATTATGAAGTAAAATACTCGTCCCTCTGCTTTGAGACGACAAACATGAGTGAAACGTTTTACCACACCATAAACTATCAAAATATGGTATGGTCTTTTCCGTTAGGGTGTCTCATAAGTTCGTTCTCACATTATATTTGCATGTGAAACAGAGTACATTGCGTCTTGATATATTCGTGACCCCTCAATGTGCTCCCCATTTAATAGGCAAACACATGAACACATGCTGCGGCATGCCAACCAGCATGTTTGGCTGCATAGCAGGCTTAAAGTTAATCCAGACTGACTTGACATGCGTCGTGAGCTCCTCGAGGCTGGAACAGCGCTACGCTTCGACGAGCCTAATTTTCAGCATAACCAACAAATTTTTATGAAATTTTGATCCGATGAGGTGCCTGGCATGTGGTCTTGCCACAAACGCCTGTCACAGTCTCCTTGCACCGCTTTTAAGCTTTGCTTGACATGTGCACTGATGCACTGTCTTGCCTGAAGATGGGCCTACGACCTCTCGGATGCCATTTTCTCCTCTATAAATGTGTTCATACTCGCGGTTCGAGTTCAGCTTGATGGTTGAAACTCCTCCCAGATGTTCTTGGAAAAGCATTACGCTTCCCAAAGCTGTTTCTGGGACACCAATCGCAACCTGGTCAGCGTCTGGACGCCTATAACCCCACAATACCGTGACCTTGGCCTTTCGCATAGGAACATAACGGGACGAAACGGAGGCCTCCCCCTTCGCCCTTATGGGGTTGTTTTCGGGTTTGGACGGGTGTTTCATCTCGAACGTGGACTATTTAGTCCAGATGACCTGGTTGATGTCCTCAGCCCTTTAGTTTTTTTTTAGCCTCAGGCATAACGAAACTCATGTTTGGCCATTTTAAGACGTTTTTGACTGTTTTGAGCCCTCCGGTAAGCAAAGCTTAAGTAA